ATATTCTACCTCGGTGTTTATTAAATAATAATATAATATATATAAAACGTGACGTTATATGTTATTTATGTAGTAGAGATGGTTTAGATTTGTCCACGGATTCTAACTTGAGGAGTTATTATGGAGTTCTTTTTAGGAGTAGAACTAAATATGGTAATGTCACAATAGTCGATGACAAACTAAACTTCACTTAAACCAATGCTTGAAAATAACTAATATGTTTTTTTTTTTTTTTTTGGAATAATATGATACAGGGATGAGTGCACAAGTCTTAGTAGTAAATATGGAAAATACTTAGTGTACTCCCATTTTATACTCCCAATTTGTACTTCCTTTCACATGTTCTTGATGTAGACAGTTTTCTGTGGACTCACTGATGAAAATAACCAATCCCAGTTTGCCACCTCAGGGAGTAGAAATGAGGGAGTAGAATTTGAGAGTCTATATAGTAGAACTCAATAAATATATTGTCATGTGAACGCAAGTGTAGTGTAATGGAAGAGACTCATCAATTCATTCTTAATAAATATTAAGGGTTTAATCATTGACTTTGGGTATGAAACAATCTTAAATTCTAGACTAACTGTTCACCTATTATAAGTATCAGGACTATGTAGTCCAATGGTACCCGGGTTAGACTTTCATTTGAAAGGTTGTGAGTTTGAGCCTTAGTGGAGGCGTTATTAGCTCTTTGTGTTTCAGTAGGTTGAGGAAGTATATGAACAGATACTTCATTCATAATAATTTATAATTCAACGAGGAGATTAGTCTCTGTATTAGACAGTGAAAATCCTTAGTTAGACCATTTTTTTTTGTATGTGTGTGAGTGAACAAGTATTTGTAATAAATGTAGTGTATATATATATGTCCAGATCAGATAAGATCTTGGATTGTTGGGTCATGTAAGGATGATTTTATCATCATCAACCTATCAAATCATGTGAAATTATCAAAATGTTGCCCCATAGATCCTATAAACATGAGTAAATTGGTGACGGTTATAAAAGCCACACTCAATTATTGCTTTTGACCTACGCTAGGATTAATTTTCATTTCAGTTGTGCGGAAATTAAATTTTCATATACGGAGTATCATTTATCTCTACTTTTTTATAGTACTCAACGTACAATTACTACTTGCTACATAATTTTCTTTTTCTCTCTGTAACATCATCATCATTACACTTTTTTTTTTTTAGTGATTATAAAAAGAGTTTTACGTATTTCTTAATCTTACTCCTTAAAATCCATTTCAATTGATTAAAAAATAATATTGATTTATTTTTATAATGAATCGATCAAAAAAATGAAACCAGTTTGGTTGGCGTGACGTGTGAATGGCTGTACGTGCACTCTTATCTCTTAAAAAAGATTGGGAGTTCAAAATCCTTTCTCGTAATTTTCAAAAAAAAAATTTCTTCTCATATAAAAAAATCAATATGACCAACAATTTACAAGTAACTCTTATAACTAGAGCCTACTCAGGACACTTTGTGGTCCAATAAAAAATTTGAAAAAATTAAAGACATTTAAATGCTACTGACTCTATTGAGGCTCAATCTCATGACCTCCCATATGAAAGAGTCATTACATGTCACCTGTGCACAAAGTGCTTGAGAAAGACATTTAATATATTTTAAAATAAAAGTAAATTATTTTTATAAATAAAAATTACCAGCATGGAAAAGAATATCTCTATAGTAAAAAGGAGTAATAAACTATAACAAATATGACATAGTTTGTTACAAAACATAACGAATCTATTATAAAAGGAGTCTTCGGAGAAGCACACACAAAATTTAAAAAAAAAAAAAAAAAAAAAAAAACGAAACATTCCTTCTCCCAGTCTCCTAGAGAGAAATGACAGTGTGACGCAAAGCGATAACTAGTGTGGGGTAGATCTGTAAATAGGTGAAATGGGGGGCCCCACTTCACTTCCTTCTTTCCCTCTCACGCTTTAAATCTGTCTTGACCGTTGCACTTCTCTATCTCTCTCTCAAAACACACAGCGGATCAAAGCTGCTGCTACTGCTTCTCGGGTTCGCATTTCTCACTCATCGCAATAACTAAAGTACGATTTCTGCTTCTTCTTGTCCTTCTTCTTCTTCATATCATCAATCATTACTGTTTCAATTAAACTAGTATTCTGTTTCTCTGTATTGTTTTGTTCCTGTCGCAGTTCCGTTTTCGATTTTTTTTTTTATTCGCTGTATTTTCGATAGATTTTTAGTTGCTAGAGATTAGAGGTTGTCTTTTTAATAGGAAAAAGATATCTGGAGGTTTTTGGCTGCGTTATGTTTGTTCATCTGAGTTTTAATTACGCTTTACATTTGATGTTCATTGCTTTCTTCATTTTTAGTTGCAGTTTTTTTTTTTTTTTTTTTAATTGATAAATAAATGTTGTGTGTTATTTATCTGGATTTTGAATGTTTATTGCTTTTGTGATTTTTAGTTGCAGGTTTTTTATTTATAAATAATTGTTGTGTCTTATTTTATCTGGATTTTGAGTGTTCATTGCTTTCTTCATTTTTAGTTGTAGGTTCTTCATTCAACCTCATACGTTCTGGAAGTTTTATAAGTACTTTTAATCTTTAAATTGTGTTTGGAGTTTGATCTTAAATCTTTGATTTTTTTTTTGAATGCTACTGGCTCTATTACAATGTAGTGTCTGTTTGTATACTTTCTCAAACACAAAGAACCAATAACACCTGAGACTCCAACTCACAACATTCCAAATGGAAATCCAAACCGGGTACCATTAGACCACATAATCTTTGATTTAGTTGAATTCTTTTAATCTTTAAATTAGCTTTGAGATTTTACCTTGAATCTTTTATTGTAAACCAGCGACGGTTTTTAGATTAGTAGGGGCTTTCTTAGTGTTGACTGTTGCACGATTGATATTCAAGGTAAATAAAACTCCCAAGACCAAATATATCTGTTTTCTTGTTAATGTGCATACAGCCAAGTGATTCTCTTTAGGAATTGAATTTCTGAAATTCATTTTCTTGCCTTGAACAGTTTGAGAGTTTCCATATGAAACTGGTGACAGTAAGTAACTTGAACCCAAACAAGTTCTAGAGATCCAAGAGTTGAAGTGATAGAAGATACATTTAAAGATGGGGTGTTCTACATCCAAGCTGGATAGTCAAGAGGCGGTGCAACTTTGTAAAGATAGGAAGATGTTCATTGAACAAGCGGTTGAGTATAGGTTGCAGTTTGCTTCGGGTCATGTTGCTTATATTGAGTCCATGAGGAGAGTCTCTTCTGCTCTTCGAGGTTATGTTGAAGGAGAAGAATATAGGGAGTTCTTAGTTGATGCATTCACAACCCCAGCTTTTACTCCAGTTAAGAAAATAAACTCTGGCTTTATCTCCATAGCATCCAAACCCTTTACAATGAAAAGTTTGCAGTCTGAAAAGAATTCTGCTGTGAAAGTGAATTACTTTAAATCAGGTGGGAGTTCTTCTATTTCTGTGGAGGAGAAACCTCAATCACCCGAAATACTCAGAGTTGAAGCATATTCCCCTGTGCATCAGTCTGGGATGGATGGCTTCTTTACCATGCATTCTGTGCCTATAAGTTCTTCATTTTATCATTCCTCTCCCAACAATATGCCCAATTTCCCCTCACCTTCACCCCAAAATAGCCAGTGGGATTCATTCTGGGATCCATTTTCTTCACTAGATTACTATGGTTATCCAGTGACAAGCGGTCTTGATCAGACGATTTTGGATGATGGTAATGGGATAACCCAAGTTCAAAAGGAAGAAGCTGTCCCAGATTTAGAAAAGCATATTGACAGTAGGGAAAGTTCAAAAGAAAAAAGTGCTCAAATCCGTCATAGCTTGAATAAAGATGAAGTTGTGGTCAAAGATGTTAATGATGGAGAAAAAATTGATTCCCATCACCTAGAGAAAGAATTGCAACCCAATGCCAATCATAATACAGCTGTTGAAAAGACTCAAAATGATAGCCAACTTAGTAGCAAAGAGACCACAGTTGTTGATAGTGAAGCAAAGAAGGAAATTCCAGGATTTACAGTATATGTCAATACAAGACTAACAAGCATGGCAGAAGCTATTAAAGATCTTGAAGCTCAGTTTCGGATTGCTTGTAATTCGGCTAAAGAGGTGTCAGCTATGTTAGAGGATACCGCGGCTCAGAATCCATCAATTTCAAATGATCTTACACGTAAGCTTGCATAATTTTTAATGGCTTTAATACTTATACATGCGCTTACTTTCATTATGGCTTAGTTTGAGCATAATTGCTTCAGATTTCTGTTCTGCTCTGCATTTGATTACCCATTTCATGTTTATGCTATTTCTGTAAATAGACATGTAATGTGTAGCCTTTATACATCTCAAAGAAAATTGGACAATAAAGAACATTTTATGATTGGTAGCAAGCTTTGTCAAAGCCTCTAAGAGAATCTTATTGACTGAATGTATGGGTTTAATAGCCATTGTTCAGGTGTAAGTGTGTAACTTCTTCTTTAAATGCTACCAGATTACACTAAGAAAAAATTTGACACAATTAGGAAAAGTTCTTTAGTTGAATGCTTGATATGTAATATCAACAAGACAACAAGTGTATATGCCAATGGGCTTTTGTCCCAAAATCCCTAAATTTGGTGGAGGTCTAGGATAAATAGACTTTTGAACATTTGACTTAAACCATCAAGTATTACTAAGTTTATAACTTTCAGATAATTTTCCCTTGTGTTAAAACTTTTAAACCTTGGTTGCTAATTTCTTTTTATTTAATTTTGTTTTGCAGCAATGAAAATGTTGAATCCAGTAGCCTTGTTCCATTCTGGATCTTCAAAATCACTGTCATCTAAATTTTTGGTAAATCCATCAATTATAGAAGAAAACAGTGACCAAAATAGTAGTGAGTTCTCTGATGACTCCAGATCTTGTGGTAGTCATCAATCAACCTTGGACAGATTACGCCTCTGGGAGAAGAAACTTTACCAGGAAGTCAGAGTATGATTACTATACCCTTATTTTATTTTATTTTTTAATATTAATGTTGAAAAAGGCACATAATGAGTAACTCTTTCTTTCTATTATTATTATTATTTTAATTATTTTAATTTTAATATCTACTGTGTATATGTGTGTTTGTGTTTACTAAATAGCTTCTTTTTCTTTCAGTTTGGCTCCTGATTAATGCTTAGACTTATGCATTGATTTATACTGAAGAGCTAACTTAATTCTTTAATTGGTATTGAAGTTTTGTTTAAGTTCCAAGCACTGAGCTCATGGCAACTAATATTTGCATTACTGAATTGCCCAAAAGCTCTTTATAAGGTCTGCATTGATGAGTTATAGCAACACTTACAATCTTCTCTAGCCATATAATGATTTAAACCGGATTTACAATTCTGAGTAATTATGGCATTTTTCTGTTTTTGGTCTGAATGCTTATTATCAAGTTGCTTAAGAGAGAGAGAGATGCAAAGAGAATTAAGTTTGTAATAAGCAGTCAGAAAATTTCAGAGAAGTCAATAGATGATGAGAGCCCAGTAGCCCAGAATTGTGATTTCAAATCTCTCTTTTTGTGTGTTTAAACAATGGCTAAAGACTTCAGTTCAAAAGGCTTCTGGTGTGCTCAAACAGCCTTGAAAGAGAAAAAAAAACATATATAATTGTCCTAAATGAAGTTGACACTTTGAAGATTCAGAATGTGATATTCTTATACTCCGTATTTAATTAGGCTGGTGAACGTGTAAGGCTAGCATATGAAAAGAAGTGTGCACAACTCAGAAATCAAGAAGAGAACAATGCTGACCATCCTTCGATAGATAAAACAAGAGCAGCCATTGGGAGTTTGCTTGCTCAGATTAAAGTTTCTATACATTCTGTTGAAGCTATTTCAAAAAGGATTGAGACTTTGAGGGATGAAGAACTGCAGCCTCAGCTTTTACAGTTGATGCAAGGGTATGTGAATCAATGTTCTTTTTCCCTTATCTCCAAATTGAATCTCTGCTCTTCCATTTTGGTTAAATGGAAGCAATTTCCATTCTTAAATCTCTATATTCTCCCATACCTATATCAGCGTTTCACTCTTCAATTAACTATACTCCATATCATTTTACTTTTTGAAAAGGAAAATAGATGGTAGAACTATTTTGAAGTTGTAGAGGCTAATGATGACTTGACACTCATGAAACAGGTTAGGTAAAATGTGGAAAGTGATGGCAGAGTGCCATCAGTTACAGAAATGTATACTGGATGAAGCTAAGGTGCTACTCAGCAGTTCTAGTTCGCCTTCAAAACATTCTGCAGCCAAGTGTTACACCAAAGTGCCACCCTCGGAGCCGCAACAACTGGGACGTTCAGCAGCTAACCTCGAGATTGAGCTAAGAAACTGGCGTGCCTGTTTTGAGTCATGGATCGTTTCTCAACGCTCATACTTGCACGCATTAACGGGGTGGCTGTTATGTTGTGTCCGTGCAAATCCTATTACATCAAAGCTACCGTTTTCTTCTTGTATTTCCATGGGAGCCCCACCAGTATTCAGCATTTGTATCCAATGGTCGAGGCTCCTGGACTCCATCAACGAAGTCCCAGTGCTCGACGGACTAGAGTTCTTCATGGCAGGGATTGGTTCTCTATCTGCACACCAGCTGAGAGAAGATCCACCCAGGAGTAAAGAAACTTCAAACACAGAGGTGGTTGAGGCCGGGAAAATTGTGAAGGAGGAAGCATTGACAGCAGAAAAGATTGGAGTGGTTTATTCAGGAATGTCAGCTTCTGTGAGTGCACTGACAGAGTTTGCCATTGTTTCAGCAGAAGGATATGCTGATCTGCTCAAGAACTGGGAGGACAAAAAGCAATGTGCAGGTGCAAATGGAGTGTGACTTTGCTTCGCATAGGGTAAGCATGGATTAATTGAATGTAAATTATATGTTGATCATTGTCTAAAGTGTTACTCATAGAGAGAACTGGTTTCCTTGATCATCTTCTGATCTTACTAGTTAATCAATTTTTGTCCTTTATAGTTATAAAAAGCATAAGAGGGATGGAAGAAAATTAAGCATTTAACGTGCCGACGTGACAGGTGCGCCCAATGCACACTTGCAAGAAGTATATTTTATTTTTATCTTTTTGGTGGGTTCCAGAAAAAAAATTATATATTGAAGTAATTCATTTTTACTCTTTCTCATCTCTCTCCTTCAACTCAGCTAAACCTGCAAAAATGAAAATACTACATGAACTCCTATTTTTTACGCTCAATTTGTACTCTCTCTTACAAATTCTTGATGTAAATACATTTCCTGAGACTCACATGATAAAAATATCCAATCTTTGTTTATTATGTCATGTAGTAAAAGTGAAGGAGTAAAATTTAGAAGTACATGTAGTAGAATTCCTGCAAAAACCTTGATGGAAATGCTATTACACTTTCTTGAAAAATTAATTGCAACTAATTAATTCATACTAAATGCGCAACTTCAAAAAGAACGGTGGAGTAAATGCAAGGATGATGATACTATTAGAAGATATTGTTAGAGATTTTTATGAGATATAATTTAATTTGTTGATATTTGTATTATATTCTTATTAGATCCAGTTGTTATCATAACCCTATAAATAATACTACTTTTAGTATATATTCTTAGATTTAGTGATTATAATAAACCTATAAATACAAGTTTTTCATTGTACATTATTGATCAATATAATTTTTTTTTTCAGTTTTATATTAATTTTTCTTTATACAACTATTTTATTATTTTATTCTTGCATATCCCGGGTGATATCATTAGCGACTAGTAGTGTCTCAATGTTTTAGCATTTCGGTGTTGTCTGTTGCTATATTAGTTCATAAGGGCGGTGAGTATTGTTTTCCCAAGGAGTTCAATTCTGATATTGCATTTTAACATGATTGGCTAGTAGATTTTGTTCGTTGCGTAGATTTTGTTCGTTGTTAATTGAGGATGAGTACAGTTGACTACATATTATGTTAATTTGCAAGCTGTTTGCATCTATATGCTCTACCTTGAGAGAGCTTGTAGTATATGAAATTACTATTAGAGATTTGTATGAGATAAAATTTAGTTTGTCAAGATTTTTACTATTTCTTATATTTAGTTGTTATTATAATAAACCTACAAGCTTTTCTGTCAAATTAATGATATAAATTTTCTTAATTTTTATTAATTCTCCTTTTACTATTATTTTATTCTTGCCTTCTCGGCGGATAGTATCATTAGCTACTTGGCGAATCGTATTTCAATAGTTATGAGTAGATTCATAATTTCTATACTGTAGATTCATAATTTTTTTTTTTTTTTTTTGAAAACGTAGATTCATAATTTTTTTTTTTCATTTGTTGTTAACGGGATAGATCCATAATTTCTAAGATGTAGATTCATAATTTCTATACTGTAGATTCATAACATCTATACTGTAGATTCATAATTTCTATATTGTAGATTCATAATTTCTGTACTGTAGATTTATAATTTCTATATCTATACTGTAGATTTATAATTTCTATACTGTAGATTCATAATTTTTGTACTATAGATTCATAATTTCTATACTGTAGATTCATAATTTCGATATTGTAGATTCATAATTTCTATACTATAGATTCATAATTTTTATATTATAGATTCATAATTTATGTACTGTAGATTAATAATATCTGTAACAACAAATGAAAAACAAAATTATAATTTTTTTTTTTAAAAAAAAAATTATGAATCTACAGTATAGAAATTATAAATCTACCAAATGTTTTCACCATGCGTATGGTGAACACGTTTCCACAGCATAATTTGCGATTCTATTTAAATCTTAACCGTTACTTTGGATTATGCACGGGCTATGCTTACAGAGAATTGAAGGTGTTATAAAAGTTCAAAAGAGGTTCGAAAAGTTCAAGCCATTTTCAATTATTAATATTCAAGACTTCAAAATGTGGCGGTTATGATTATATACACCTTAGAAACATTTAAATTAACCTGGAGTGACAATGAAACTGAAGAAAATTAGGAAGAAGATTATACTCCATTGATTATGTTGTATTTTCAAGAAAATGATATTTGATATAAGGGATCTGCTCACTTTATCACTGTCGAGGTTCAAATCTTGATCTCTTCTATTAAATACTATCTACTAAACCAGTGAGTTAAGCGCCTAAGCTCATGCGGGCATATACTTTTCTACTTTGTTTTATTACTTGTATGAATAATCTGAGTTATGGATAAAGTTTATAAATTACTTAGACTGCAACAAAACCATTCACCAAGGGAAGAAAGTTAAGAGTTTGTTTCAAAATTTTCATAAACTTATATTGCCAATCAAAGTGTTTATGAAAATAAATAAATAAATAATAACGGTGAATTCACTCATATGGAGCCATGGAGTAGGCTGTAAAAAGTTGATGGATCTTTTATTGCCCCTTCTCTATAATTAAAATCAATAATTTAATTTAAATATTTAAATTAGTTACAGACATAATATCCATAAATTGATTAGGAAAACAATTTTATTATATTAAATAATTATTAAAAAAAACTAATACTCAAAGATATCTCTCTTCTTTTGTAAACCATATAGTATCAAATTATCTGGTCAATTTTTTTGGTCAAACAAAAGAGAAGAATCTCTTTTGCCCACTAAAAGAGTACAAGCTCTCTAGTCAATCAGAAGAGAACAACATCTTTGATCAATTAGAAGGGACATTAGTGAACTATTTTACTTTTCCACTCTTTTGAGATCTCTCATTTTTTATTTTCCCAATTCTTAGAAAAAAACATTTCTAGTGATTTTCTTGAACGAAAACTTCTCAACTGTCCGAATATAAAAATTCAAAAATTCTAAAAAACTTATACTCCGGGTATGTTCTTTTTTTTTATATATATACCAAACTTCGGTATCATTTTTCGGAAATTGGCTGGCCTTGCGGGCTAAGTTATACCAAACTAACCGATATAGTCGTGCTACAGAAAGCATGAGAGGTAGTGGTGCACCGAGAGCACAACTCTCGTGCAACGGTGAACACGA